AATGGGTACGTGCCATAACATTCTTGCATGATGTCATTGCAGCGTTGACGCCGGGCCGGCCCCCTGCGGTCGTGCCTCCATAAGCGGCGTAGAAGATATCTGTGTGCTTAGTGGGTCAAGTTTTGGTAAGCAGAACTGGTGCTGTGGGATGAACCAAACGTAATTGCTACAGACAGCAGGACGGTGGACATGGAAGTCGTCATCCGCTAAGGAGTGTGTAACTACTCACCTGCCGAAGCAATTAGCCTTTAAAAAATGGATGGCGCTTAAGTCGTTTGCCTATACATTACCGCTGGCGTACAAGTGGAGCAGCGCGTTCGCACGACTACCCTTTGAAACGCCAGCGAGTAGGAGGGTCTGGTGGTGTGCGCTGAAGTGCCTGGCGTAAGCCGACATAGAGCCGCCACTAGCACAAATCTTGGTGGTACTCAGCGAATCCAAACACATAAAGGAACCAACGATACAGACAAAACGGTTGCTACGACTACCATGACAAACTCGCTCTGTAACATAGCTCGATCCGAGTGGTAGAAGGATAATGATATATGTATTTGTTGCCTGCTTTGTTGCAATATACACGGATGAGGACATAGCTTGATATGAATCGAGAAAAGACATAACAAAAAAAAATTCCCATTAACACACGTGTATCATGTTCGGCTTTACTTCGTGAAGCAGCTTGCCAACAATTTGCTCGTTTTCTTCTACCGCCCCGAGTGAGTTGTGTCGCACGGGCTGCTTGTCATCAAAAAGAAGGAAGAAGATTATATCATTGTTGCTTTGCACTTCTGACATAGCGTTATTATTCGGTTCGTTGATCGCTTGTCATTTTGTCATTTGGAGATATTTTTGATTCCTTGGTGGTACTAGCAAATATTCGAATGAGATCTTGGATGACTGAAGTGGAGGAGGGTTTCGGGTCAACAGCAGTTGAACACGGGTTAGCCAATCCTAAACTCTATGGGAAACCTGATATATTTTAAGAATTTAACCAGATACAACAAAATATGGAGATCCTATGCTGATGCAACATCCTCGTATATATTGATTGAGCGAAAGGGCATCCGGTTACAATTCCGGAGCCTGTTGAGTATACGTTTGCATTGGCATTTACATACCGGCAACGGTAGCACCTTTGTAATCATGGCAACATGAATCATTTTCTTCGAGAAGCCAACAAGAGATATCAGAAGAGTTTTCTTTTCTGTTTTACAGTCACACTAGCCATGGAAGTCTTTCATAGAGAGATATGGTTGGCCAAGCTGGTAGGTATTAAATTGCTGTGTCGATATTCTCTTCTTGGACATTGAAAATTGAAGACTGTGGCACGCAAACTCTCAACAGCTTTTACCGAATCCGCAGCAAGTCTCCAAGGTTTAGAGTCTCTAGTCGATAGATTAATGTAGGTAAGGGAAGTCGACAAATTAGATCCGTAACTTCGGCATAAGGATTGGCTCTGAAGACTGGAATGACTCGGGCTATGCTCCCGCTTCGCGGTGGGAGTTTGCCTCAATGCGTTCCTCCGTGGGTGCACGCTAGCGCGCGGGGCCTTCACGGGCTTCCGTGTGTGGGTGTGTGTCCCGCGGGCGCTGCAGTCATCACAGTCAATTCAGAACTGGCATGGCTGAGGGAATCCGACTGTCTAATTAAAACAAAGCATTGTAAATGGCCTCAACAGGTGTTGACACAATGTGATTTCTGCCCAGTGCTCTGAATGTCAACGTGAAGAAATTCAAGCAAGCGCGGGTAAACGGCGAAAGTAACTATGACTCTCTTAAGGTAGCCAAATGCCTCGTCATCTAATTAGTGCGGTCCATTGTGGCGGACTACGGCTAAAAATCTAATAAATAAAGAAAAAAAAAAGAATCATCGACCTTTAAAGCCAATGTTCACATTTGGTTCATTGGATCTTTTCACTTGTTGTGTCAGAATTCGCCTAAACCAAATTGCGGATTTGGTTAAATCTGTAATGTAAATCGGTTTTTTTTTCTGTAGCCATTAGATGGAACATTCCGTAGGCAGCTGAAAAATACGTCTCATTATAATTTTACATGTCAACAAACTTAAAAGAATAAAATTTCAATTGTGCTTCATATTAGGTCATTTATACTGACGTATGTAGTTGTATGCCATTTGAGTCACTTACATGTGTCGGTCTTAGGAGATTTAAAATTACATGAAGTTTTCGAAGTTTGTAGCTTCTCTGAGGTTCTTGGAACTTCTTTACAGCCTGAATAAATTGGAAACTTCTTTACAGTCTCACAATTCTCTGGAGTTCTCTGAAATTTTCATGACTTCCCTGAAGTTCCTTTGAAGCTCTTAAAACTTCTTTTAGTTCCTGCAGTTTCAAGTACCCGAAATGCTGTAGGATCTTTCCTTGTTATCCCGCAGTCCTTTCATGAAACTTTCCTCGTCTGTTTTGAAGTTCCTAAAAATTATGAAGTTCTTTAATGTTTCCTGAAGTTCTTTGAGCTTTCCTGATGTCATGGAAAATGTTCTGACAATGTGTCTGAAATTGCCCTGAAATTAATGAAATTGCCCTAAACTGTCGGTAATCGCAAGTCAGTCCCATTTAATTTTTATCAGTTCTAAGTGAGCAGGATTATTCAGGAAATATTTTTATATTTTCAAGCTGTGCTACTCAAAGGGAGTTTGTTCAGAAAAACTGAAAAAAAAAATTATTTTTGAAAAATGTGATTTTTATATTTTTGATATCTTTTCCAATATTTTTAGGAAAAATCAATGCGTAATTATTTTCTCGGAACAGTGAACTTACCCTTAATGCAAAGTATACCATCACAAAAAATGCACGTTTTTATTTACCTGAACATATTGAGCGATTTTTGACGAATTCGCAAATCCATTAATTTTCGTATTTTTTTTATTTCGCTGAACATTTTCAAAGACGTTCCTCATGACCAAAAATGCCAATTTGCATCTTCAGGTCACCATTCCAAATAGAGCTTTATTTTTAAAAGTTAAGCTTATCTTCAAATAACTGTTACTCGAAAAATATCTGTCCAATCGGTATGGTACCTTGGGCAATGTTGTAAGGAGCATGTGGAACTATTAAAAAATATCACTGCTGAGAAAATAAAACAATTTTTTTTTTATCAACATAAAAATTCAAAACATCATTTTAAAAATGATTGCTTTTCTACGTGCAAAACAGCAGTTAACTGTGAATAAAATGTATGTCATGTGTGAGGGAGCTGCATCCCAGTATAAAAATCGAAATTGTTTTCTAGTCGTTGTCAATTTAAGAATACATATGGAAAAGAATGGCATTTCTTCGCAACATCACATGGAAATCTACCATGGAGGAACACTGAAACGTATGGCTGCCAGAGCTAGTCTAGTTAGAGAACGTGAACATCCGATCCAAAAGGAACCAAAGGAACTATACGGTTGGGCTCAGAACCGAAACGAGGATCAGCTCACTCAATTTTTTGCGCTATGCAACTACTGAAGAATATGAAAATAATAAACAAGAGCCTAGTGAACAATACTCAAGGGCTATAATCATTGAAGCAACTCAAAAAGACCACTCATTCATTCCTGACAAATAGAAGTCAGACTGCAAAAATGAAAAGAAAATTGCTGATATTATTAAAAACTGAAAATTGCTAATCTTGTTAAGAAATAAAAAAAAATACAGAAATCAATTTTAGAGAAAACGACTTTAAAGTTTTTGTTTTGAATAAAACAAAATAGTAAAATTTTCTTTAGAGTGCAATTTGTTTTTCTTTCAAGTAGCTCTAGATAATCCCTACAATATTGCCGAAAGTACCAAACCGATTGTACAAACTTTTTTTTTTCGAGTAACAGTTTTCTGAAAATAAGCCTACCATTTTTCTATGGGCCTTTTTCAAAATTAAGGCTTGATTTAAAATGGTGGAAGATGCAAAATGGCATTTTTGGTCATGAGGAACGTTTCTGAAAATGTTCAGCCAAATTAAAAAAAAATATGAAAATTAATGGATTTGCGAATTCGTCTGGAAACGCTCTATTCGAAAAAGATGTAAAAAATCCAAGGCAATAATTTTTTACTGAGCACACTTTCGTGTAAGAACAAGTTTTTTTTCTTTCCATTTCTCCATTTTATAAAGTTGCGAAAAAATAAATTGTTCGGTCTGGTTTTGCGGTACTTTAAACACATCTTATTACCATCATGATGTAGAAAAAAAAAAGATATTGCACGTAAATTTTGTTCAAAATTACCGGAAAATTATGAAATTTTTCATTATTCTTAGAAAAATATAAATGTTTTTTTTTGCCAGCTGCGGAAAGCTTTTCAATAATGGAAACAACTAAACTTTCATGATTTTCCTGAAGTTCTCGGAATTTCTCTGACAATGATGAACGTTTTGCAATTTCTCTGACAATGATGGGCTTTCTAACTTCTGAAGTTTTCTGGAATTTGTTATTGGATCATCTGTGAAGTTCCTGCAGTTTTTATGAAGTTATGCAAGCGGCCCGGAAGTTCTAGAAGCTTTTGAAACTATCCTTAAGCTCCCACAATTTTTCGGAAGTTAATTTGGCCGCTTTAGAAATATTCCTGATGTTATCGAAACGTTCTCAATTTTGTTCGGATGTTCATGGAACTTCCCTGAAGTTCTCAGAACTGTCCCGAAACTTAAGATCTTTGAACTTTCCTGAAGTTCTTGTACAGTTCCTAAAATTTCCTTAAAGTTAAAAGACCTGTCGTGAAGAGCTATGATCTAACCTTAGAGTGTTGTGATTTTTTTTTATTGAAATCCACCCAGAAAACTGTTGCATCCACTACGAACAAATCATCACATTTTAATAAAAAAGGACACCCCACTTTAAATCACATTTTGTGCCTTGCCAACTACTGCGTCGTATTAAATGACTCCCGACAAGGAGCCATAAATTGTATCAACAAGTTATTCTACCCTCCCTGTACAAGAAAAAATATTTCGCAGAAAACCCATAAAAACGTTACCATACCCACCCGTTTCCATTCTACTCAAACTTACCGATGAATGAGCGGTTCGATCTTGGAAAGCTTCTTCTGTTGTTGCTCGCTGCCACGCCGTTTCGACGGCGACAGTGGCCTCGATGGGCGCCGTAGGGTGGCTGTTTTCTGAATTTGCTTCTGCAGCAGGTCCCGTTCCTCCCGTTCGATGCTGGGCGACGGAATCACCGCAATGGAAGGCGTCGGTTTCACGATACCGGTTGTCACTGTCGTCGGTGGTGTCGGCCCTGTTCCTATGGGCGACACGGCGGTCGACGAGAGCAATAATGGTTGTTGGGTAGCTGCCGATGGCACACCGATTGACACGGTCACCGGGAGCGGAGGGAGAGGCTGAGGAAGAGTGTATTAAAATCGTATTATTAAATAGAATATGAAAATTATGATATGGTTCAAAGCCAGAAATTCTAATTAAATATCGCTTGTTTCTGATTAAAATTAAACGACCCTTTTCCATCCCGCTGCATAATCCAGCACTGGCATAGACATCCTGTCGACTGCATGCAAGCATATCTTCTTCACGAATGAAGCCATTCAGTTTGGTGAATGGAAGACAACCCCTCGGGGACCACCCGTTTCAATAAACTGTTACATAATAGAGGACGACATGATCAAAGCGAAGCACAAACGGTCGACTAAGGATACGTCCAAAAAATAGGAAACGTCTTTCCCCGGAGCAAGCCGACCGACCGGCAACGATTAATTGGAAACAGAAATTATTAATTTCAATACTCGTTCTCTGTGTGTAATCAATTTCCTGTACTCCCACCACCATTCCGGAAACCCTTTCAACTTGCCTCGGTCGCATTCCACACGTAGACAGCCAGACAGCTTTACCCCAATTGGCATTCCACTGACTGGCGGTGCGACGAACGAATATGCTGGAGGGACGAAGATGCGCATCATTCTTGTGGTTTTCCCCCACCCCACTTCTCTCGGGGATGTCTCCAGCAACGTCGTCGTCGTCGTGATAAAATTGTGGTCCAGGAGTCACGTCGTCGTGAATGGATAAGGCGGACTCTTGAAGGTTTCCACCAGGATTGAAGCACTGCAGTGCGCGCTGTGCTCAATATAAATTCAACCTGATTGATTTATGTGGAAGATGGATTGTATTCAACATCCATGTGGTCTTTGAAATAAGTGAATTGTTGTTCTGGTAGGTACGTTGTACGGTTTGGTTTTCGATCGGGATACTGTCAGAAGACAGAAATGTTTATTGTGATGTTGATTTTTGTTTGCTTATTCTGAGCAGAAAGCCAGAAAGCAATCGACTGATTGCTTCCTGGGGGGAACAACTGGAGATTGATAATATGCTTTTGATTAGAAGCATTCAGTGGAAAGTGATGGGAAGATTGTTGACCAGAGCTGCAAATGATTTTTATAAATTTAATTTTTATTATGGTTTGGTTTCCTTTGTGGTGGGCTTTTGTATTGGGGACCTGTTGATACAAATATTTAAATCAATTATCAGATTTCGTTTTAAAACAGTTCAAAGCAGGCATTGCTAATTTGGTGAAATTCATCAGCTGCTTTTGGATTTACAGACAAGCTCTTTCCGATGTATACGTTGAAGATTCTATACAGCTGTCATTTATTTGAAGTACCGTAAAACGGGGTATCTTTGATAATGCGGGTAACTTTGATAGTGTAATATAAAGATTAAATTTACTCGCTGCGCTTTTTATAACTTAGAAATATTGGTTCTATATCGTAGCTTAGGGTGTTTCCGTTGATATCGTATATAGTTTGTATGTAGTATGTGTAACATATTTTACAAACATCTTAAAAAACAATTTTCGTATTTTTCACCTGCTTGAAAAAGCACCGAAACCATCACTTATGAAATGTATTTCCAATATAGCCATCACAAATTCAATGTTGTATTCTTATTGCCTACGTTGTTTTCTGATTATATACTCATTCAAAGTTTCATATTTAAAGAACTAAAATGTTTGGGTTTCACGAATTTTTTTTTCTACATTCATCGAGCATTATCAAAGTAACCCAAAATCAAAATACTGATATTCGGTCACAAAACTAAAAAAATAGTGCAAATGCTTTAATCCCCGTTTAACAAATTACTAACGAATTTACTCTTAGATATTCAGTACTTGTTTTGAAAATATAAAATTTGAAAAACACCTATTCATAGGTGCAAAAAATATTTAGAATATGCTTTAAAAAATTATCAGTGTTACCCGTTTTACGATAATTCTGAATTCGGAAAAGAGTTCCAAAAGAGTTTACCAAACATAATTTGAGAAGATATCTAAGAAATTTGTAAAGAAAACTGCACATGAATTCTTAGGCAACTTTTAATGTGAGAATAATTACAACAGAGGGAGGTGTTAATTTTTATACGGCATAACATCTCTGATTACGGCAGTAAAGCTGTTGGTCCCTGGTTCATAAGTTGATGGGTAGTAGGGTAGTATAGAGTTGGTAGTTCCGTTAGAGTACGGGAATGTGATAATTGTATATAGATATAGCAAGGATAACTTTTAGGAAATGTTCCTATAGTCGGAAACTACTTCAAGCAATTGACTGCATCATGGCCCCTCATTGGTGAATTCATATCTGTCGATGGATAATTCGTCGAGTGAGGATCAAGATATGATCACTTTATTACAATGGAACTGGCGTAGTTTAATACCTAAATTAGACTCGTTCAAGTATTTGATTCACAATTCTGATTGTGATATATTTGCACTCTGTGAAACTTGGCTTTCTTCTGAAGAGGAACTAAACTTCCACGATTTTAACATTATCCGCCTGGACCGAGATGATTCATATGGTGGCGTACTTTTGGGGATCAAAAAGTGCTACTCCTTCTATAAAATCTCAATCCCAATAATTTCAGGCATTGAAATTGTCACTTGCCAAATAAATGTGAAGAACAAAGATCTTTGCATAGCTTCTGTATATGTCCCTCCAAGGACTTCCATAAACCGCCGTCAGCTTTGGAGTTCAGTTAATATCCTTCCATCTCCAGTTCTAATACTGGGCGATATGAACTCACACGGTACTGGTTGGGGCGAATCATACGATGACAATAGAGCGGGTATTTTCTATGATTTGTGCGACGATTTCAACTTGACTATCTTGAACACTGGTGAAGCAACACGTATAGCAAACCCTCCTGCTCGAGAGAGCCGTCTTGACATTTCTTTGTGCTCTAACTCACTATCATTAGATTGTCTGTGGAAGGTTATCAATGATCCCCATGGTAGTGATCACTTGCCAATTATTATTTCAATCAAAAGTGGTCGTCTAAAAACAGATCAGTCAATTCAAGTTCCTTTTGACCTCACGAGGAACATTGATTGGCAAAAATTTGTATCGGCGGTAACTCTTGGTATTGATTCTACCGATCCTCTACCACCACTGGAAGAGTATCGTTTCTTTACCGAACTAATCTACAAAAGCGCATTAGAAGCTCAGAAACGACGTGTTCCAAGTGCATCCCTCAAAAGAAGACCCGCCACCCCTGGATGGGATGACGAATGCACAAAGTTGTATCTTGAGAAATCCGATGCCTTTAAAGGTTATCGTAGACATGAAAGATCTGAGCTTTTTGAAACGTATCTAAAGCTTGAAAAAAAGCCTAAAAACTTACTAAAAGCAAAGAAACGAAATTACTGGCGTACTTTTATCGAGGGACTTTCTAGAGAAACCTCGATGACAACGCTTTGGAAAAAGGCTCGCTATATGCGAAACCGCTCATCTTCCAATGAGAGTGAAGAATACTCCTCCCAATGGATATTCGACTTCGCTAAAAAGGTTTGTCCAGATTCTGTTCCAGCACAACCAACTTTACGGGATACAGTCCGAAGTAACGGTTCTCTGGATGAACCATTCACAATACTGGAATTTTCAATGGCACTTCTTTCATCGAATAACTCTGCTCCGGGAAGCGATATGATCAAATTCGACCTTCTTAAAAACCTCCCCGATATCGCTAAAAGACGATTACTTAACCTATATAATTCATTTATGGAATTCAATATAGTTCCACCAGCATGGAGACAGGTTAAAGTAATAGCTATTCCAAAGCCTGGGAAACCAGCGTCTGATCACAATTCTTACCGTCCGATCTCTATGTTATCATGCCTGAGGAAATTATTAGAAAAAATGATCCTATTAAGACTTGACCATTGGGTTGAATCAAACAATCTACTTTCAAATACGTAATTTGGTTTCCGGAAGAGTAAAGGAACAAACGATTGTCTAGCGATGCTTTCATCTGATATTCAACTGGCCTTTGCGCACAAGGAGCAATTGGCTTCAGTCTTTTTGGATATAAGGGGGGCATTTGATTCGGTTTCCATAGACATACTGTCAGACAACTTGCATAGTTGTGGATTACCCGGTATTTTGAATAATTTCTTGTAAAATTTGCTGTCAGAAAAACAAATGACCTTCAACTAGGTCAACTGACAACTTCTAGAATTAGCTACATGGGCTTACCCCAAGGTTCATGTTTAAGTCCCTTACTTTATAATTTCTATGTCAAAGATATTGATAACTGCTTAGATAATCTATGCACGCTTAGACAGCTTGCAGACGATGCCGTGGTTTCCATGAGAGGTCCACGTGCGGAAATCTTGCAAAGACCATTGCAAAATTCCCTAAATAATCTGTCTCTCTGGGCAAGAAATTTAGGGATCGAGTTTTCACCGCAAAAAACTGAATTGGTAGTGTTTACAAGGAAGCGGTTTCCAGCCCAACTGCGTCTAAATCTTTTGGGCAGAGACATTACCCAATCTTTAACCTTCAAACACCTTGGAGTCTGGTTTGATTCAAAATGCACTTGGGGTACCCACATTACGTATTTGAAACAAAAGTGTCAACAAAGGATCAACTTTCTACGATCAATTTCCGGGACATGGTGGGCTGCTCACCCGGAAGACCTCATTAAACTATATAAAACGACTATTCTTTCAGTTCTTGAGTATGGCTCTTTTTGCTTCCTCTCGGCAAGAAAAAGCCACCTAATCAAATTGGAACGTATTCAATATCGTTGTTTACGTATTGCCCTTGGCTGTATGCATTCAACACACAATATGAGCCTAGAGATCCTAGCGGGCGTAAAACCCCTGCAGAACCGTTTCTGGGAGCTCTCATTAAGAATATTGATTAAATGTAGTGTCAGTAACAACCTTGTGATTGCAAACTTCGAAGAAATGCTCGAATTGAGCATCCAGTCTAGATTCGTGCGAATCTATCTTAATTATATGTCATCGGATATTAGCCTTCCTTGCTATAACCCCTCTCGTGTATGCTTTACTAACTACAGCTCCCCCATTGACTATGATCTCTCCAAGAAACAGGCTATTCAAGGAGTTCCAGATCAACTTCGACCTATCTCAATTCCCCGCATTTTTGCTCAAAAGTACCAACAAGTCAATTGCAATAGAAGATTTTTCACTGATGGATCACGCATTGATGGATCCACTGGCTTCGGCGTCTTCAATGAATACTCAACCGCCTTTCGGAAACTTCAGGAACCTTGTTCCGTTTATGTTGCTGAGCTAGCAGCAATCAAATTCGCATTGGGGATGATTTCCGGTATGCCCATAGACCATCACTTCATCTTCTCGGATAGTCTCAGTTCGATTGAGACTATTCGGTCGATGAAACAAGGTAGGCACTCATCTTATTTCCTTTCAAAGGTAAGGGAGCAGATGAGTTTGCTGGTCGAAAGATCATATATGATTACCTTTGTATGGGTCCCCTCACATTGCTCAATCCTAGGCAATGAGAAGGCAGACTCTCTCGCAAAGGTGGGCGCACAACAAGGCGAGATTTATGATAGAAGAATTTTACATGATGAATTTTTCCCATTAGTACGTCAGAGTTCTCTTTTGAGTTGGCAAAACGATTGGACAAATAATTCTCTTGGGCGGTGGTTACATTCCATTATTCCAAATGTTTCTTCGAGAGCATGGTTCAAAGGTCTGGATGTAAGTCGGGGATTCATTCGATTGATGTCAAGACTTATGTCCAACCACTACTCGCTAGACGCACATCTCTATAGAATAAACCTCGTTGACAGCAATATATGTAGGTGCAGAACCGGTTATGATGACATCGATCACGCAGTTTGGTATTGCCCGGGTAATGACGCCTCCAGAGCACGACTATTGGGTACCCTAGTGGCCCGAGGTAGACAACCCTTCCGTGAAGTAAGAGATGTATTGGGAACACGTGATCTTCCCAACATGCAAGCGATCTACGAATTCCTTTGTTTGTCTGATGTTAGAGTATGATGTGACCATCCCCTCCTTTCCAAACAATTTCCCGCCATTGTGTCCCAGTCTTATTATCCTCCTGTTCCTGTGCTACTTGCCCCTGCCCAGCCAGGATTTGGTCAACCGTCCGAGAGTAGTATCTGAAGGAGGCTTCAGAAACCAGTTTCCTACCTAGAATCTTCCAATTGAAATTGTTACCTATTAACCTCGAGCCCGCCACGAGTAATTGGTACCCAATACTAACCTAGAAATACTGCTATTTAAAATGTAAATCCTACATTACTGATTTTGGCTCCGCAAAGTGTCACACACGACTGAGCCTGGTAAATAAACGAAATAGTGAAAAAAAAAAAACTTTTAGGAAGGTACAAATCGGATTGATTATCTCTCTTTACCAAACAGGGGTATCCCCCTGTCACCACTGGCAAAAAGAGATGATCACGGACTTGCTCATGTACCGACGATATGTGTGAAACAATCTATAGAACTGTTTCAAACATATCTTCGGTACATGAGCGAGTCAGTGATCATCTCTTTTGCCAGTGGTGGCAGGAGGGATACCCTTTACCATCCCTCTTCAACGGGGGAGTTTGGTAAAAAGAGATGATCAATCCGATTTTTACCTTCCTAAAAGTTATCCTTGCTCGCTATCTATATACAATTTTCACATTGCCGTACTCTATCAACTCTATACTACCCTACTACCCATCAACTTATGAACCAGGGACCAACAGCTTTACTTCCGTAATCAGAGATGTTATGCCTCAGAACATCCCGGCGGCGCCGACAGGGATTGAACCCAGGCCTGCTGGGGTGGAAGGTAATCATGCTTATCACTACACCACCGGCGCTGCTAACTGCCCTTAAAATATCGACAGTAAGTCATAACTTTTCCAATTTTCTACACTTTCCTGTTGTTATTAAAATTGTCCTAAACAATACTGAATTTCCTTAAAGTTGTCTAGCCTGCTCTTAATTTATCAGTATTTTTACAAATAACCACAGTTTTACTGAAGTTAATTGAATTGCCTTTAATTTTACATACAAGTGTTGTAAACTTCATAAACGCTCACAGAACTTTGCCTTAAACCACGAATTTCACCTGAATTTCCCTGGACATCGCTGAAGTTTTCTATGCTTCTCTGAGCTTCCTTAAATATTGATACTTCCCTGACGCTTATGAAATTTTCAGATCATTCATATAAATCTAAGAATATCCAATAATTTTACGTCTCTGCAAATTTTATTAATTTAATGGTATTATTCTTAAGCTATGTGATCATCTTCGATGCACTTGGGACATCGCTGAATATCATGAAACTATCTAAAAATTTCTGAGTGTTGAAACACCCCCCAAAGGCGCGCCGCTTTGTCAGTCAAAATTGGATTCCTTAGCAACAAAATTAAGGAAGGATACCGATAATGACCATGCCACAGAACCCTAGTCTTAATCGCTTCAAACTAGGGAACAACAAATACACCTTACTAAACATCAAAACCATTATTCTTGGCCACATATTTTACTCCTGAAGAAAGCACCAGCAACTCGCAGCAAGTGCTGAAACGTTGGAGCAACGTACGGAAGTCTTATACAATATAAAAACAGCAAATAGATCGATTAAATCTTTATCCATCTAAACCAGGAGCAAAACGTTGGATCGATTAAATCAAGCATTGTTTATACTTCCAAAGATCGCCAATCCAAAATAAGAAATCAGAAACCAGAGATAGTTTGAACCTCTACACAGTCGAGTTTGGATAATTCTCAGACACCCAGACGCAAAATCATAAACTGTTTCTCGGCAATCTCACCTGATCAGCAATATCCTCCATGTCCAGCGCATCCGTATCCATCGAACTGCGCTGCTGATGCTGAAGCAGAAGATTTTTCCGTTTCGTTGTAGGTGTCAACTTTCCGTTCTCGGTCAAACTATGGAGCCAAGCAATCAGAATGATTTCATCGGTTAGAAGTATAAAAACAATTCCCCCAAACCCAAACAAAACCAAACTCACCTCGGTGTCATGATCGTCGCCTGCGATTCGTTCCAGATCCCGTCGGAATTGTCCCGGGTTCCCAACGATTCCGACGAGTGGAACGGTGAGTGGGATTTGATCGAAAGCTTGTCCTCTCGGGATGGCGAGGGAGGTGCCGTTACCATCCTATCGTCCTTGGAATCCGCCTCCAGCTCCTCCAGTAGGCCCTTTTCCTCCTCCACACTGGTCGGTTCATCCAAACTGACAGATCGCTTTCGATACGATTCCTTCCTCTGATCCGCCGCTGGGCCACCGATAAATATGCCCTCGTCTTTGATGGGCGTTTCGCTGAACTGCAATTTAGCATTAGCTTTGTGTGGATCGACGACAGCGGGGGACTTTAGGTCCTCTTCACTAGCCGAGATGGCATTGGCCGGGATTAATACCGTTGGTTTGGACTTTTTCCTGTCAAGTAGGATTTCACCCTCCGATAGGGTTTTCAGTAGTTTCTTCTTCTTGATGGAACTGGGCGAAGGGACGGGTGAGACACGAGGCTTGAAGTCGATAAAGATTTCCTGTTCTTCTTTGTCTTCCTTTTCGCTTTCCGAGTCGCAGGTAGAACAGCTTTCGTCGGACGAGGACTTTGTGTCGTCCTGCATGTCCAGCGGTTGGATGTTGGGGGGAGTGATGGGGCACGAGGGTGGGGGGTGCACAGGTTGCGAGAAGATGATGGGGGCTTGGGGTTTGACTAGTGGTTGGAATATTTGCTGCTGTTGCTGTGGAGGAGGTTGTTGCGGTTGTTTCTGAGGCGGCTGCTGCTGTTGTTGCTGTATGTGGGCTTGAATCATGGGTTGAACCTTTTGCACTTGCTGGTGAGTGATAGAGTTCCGTCTGGATAGGGAGTGGGTATCTGGAGTTACATAGGCATACGATGCCCGGCGCTGTTGGTTCTGTTTGTCTTGCTGCATTGCTACTTGCTGGGCGGACATTCGTCTATTGAGACTGTTGCTGTCGAAAGAACGAATATCTTGATTAACGCTACCGTTCGAGATGAGCAACTCTTGGGGAGGCATTTTGAGTTGATCCTTGAAGATGATCTCATGATGATGATGTGGGTGATAGTCGCGACGGGGCAATGTGTGAGTATGGAATTCTTCCGGCTTGTGGTGGATGCAAGTTCTCCTCGGAAGGCTGTGCGTTTCAAATACGTAGCCATTTTCGTGGCCATGGTGGTGAACTTGTTCGATGTCTCTTCGTAGAACTTGGAACGGTTCGTTGGATAAAGTGTGACTCCCCTTTCTGGGAATGATGATGCTGTCGTACATTTCATATGGATAGGAACTGGTTTCGTACGACGTCCGCGATCCATCGGTCGATCTGTACGAAGTGGCACTGTCCTGCGAGTGATTCCGGGAGTGGGTCATGATCCTATCCAGCGGATAGTTGTCGCTCCGGGACGTCTCCGAGTGGCTCAATTGGGACGATGTGCGCGAAGGCATTTCGAAATGTTGCATGAGCGGTGATTTGGATGGCGGTGAAGTGATGGTGAATGGTGATTTGGGCGATTCTTCGGAGTGTGTTCGATGAAGCTGCTCGTGCTCGGTGAGACTGGGCGTGATGAAGCAAATTTAAAAGAAATAAAAAGCAAATCGTATAAATCAAAATACTCAATGGGGTGGTACTGTTCCATGTCAAATCGATAGCATATGTTAAATTCTAAAAATAAACAATTTTTTATCAGCACATGCTCGGAGCATACCGTTCAAGGAATCATCAAATCCTGAATGTGACATCTGCCAGCTACATTGCGTTCGTTTATCCCATTCAAGATTTATGATCAGCTCAACTGGATACAGTTATCGATTCAACACGGAACCCCTTTGTATAAGTAAAATCAAGCATCAAACTTCGTCACTTACGTCTTCAGTTCCTCCTGCACGCCACCGGTATCGATGCCGTTTTCCTGCACCCGGTCGGCCGCCTCAGAAAGGCTCTTCGTCAGCTTCCTCCCGTTCAGTCCCCCGTTGGTCTGCGCACCTTGCGATACCATTTTCACCTGCGAACGAAACGAGAGAAATGAAAACGTCAATCGACCTTTGCATGCCAGTCAAATAAATCCCATCACCAGATGCCGGCTGGCTGAATGGGAAACTACATTCTATATATGTGACTCGGGAGTTTTTCCTTCACCCATTGACGCACGTGCCGCCCCAAACGAGATGTAAAATATGCCCACATGGATGCTTTCTGAAGGAATGTGCTACTTAAAGCCTTACGCATCCGGAATTTTGCCTAATCCTACGTTGGAAAGTAGAGCCAGGTAGACGAATGTGTTTGCATAAAATTCGTGGAAAAATATTTGCCATAAATCAGTACCGGAGGGTGAAAATTTATGTACATTTTATGCTCGAAATAAGCCGCTTTTTTATGGCTCGAGAGGAGAAACGATGGTAGTGCTGAATCAAAATGTTTTGCAGGCGAATCACGAGGGGACAAAGAAACATGTTGCCACCAGCGGCAGCTCGAAGCAATGAACTCACAAATGGGCTTAAAGTAAATTTTCTTTCACAAACTGGATGAACCGTCCCGATTTGGTTCTGGGTTTGATGTGTGTAGGAAAGCGATGAAAATTTCCTTTAACGATACCTGCAACGTTGAAATCATAATATCGGTGCAATAAATCATTCGGGTGGAATATCGATTTTGCTCCACCCCACTCAAAAGATTGTAAATCAGGTCATTCTCCGAAAACGCGCAACACCAGAAAAGGGCCTATCATTGTTGATCGATTCTCTACATCGATTTTCTCTTTTGCGAATAACCAGACTGCAAATGAATTTCCCATTAATTGTGTTGTTTCAGGCGCAAGCTAACAACGGCGCCGGTGGTGTAGTGGTAAGCGTGATTACCTCTCACCCCAGCAGGCGTGGGTTCAATCCCAGTCGGCGCCGCCGGGTTGTTCTGAGGCATAACATCTCTGATCACGCCTTCCTTCGGATGGGAAGTAAAGCCGTTGGTCCCCGGTTCATGGGTTGATGGGTCGATAGGTAGGGTCCAGGTGTGGGAGCTGCCTTCCTGGCACGTCGGTAGCATTGGTGCTCAGCACGGAAAACAAGATCGACGGAAAAAACAAATCAAAGGAAAAAAAGGCGCAAGCTAACACCGTTTTCTGTCAAACTGTGCTGCGAGCTAAGCGAGAAATTCGTTTATGTTGCCGTGGTAAACCAAATAGAAAGTCGATGAAGAGAATCGATCAACGAGGATAGGTCCTTTCAAAATGTTACGCGAGATTTGGTTGTGATCTCGTACTGCAGTAACCCTTTGTAGTATATATGGAATTTAGTATACACCTGTGCAGGAGAGAACTACTGTTCATCTACTAAATAAAAAAGTAGAAGGGTCTGTGCCTAGGGGCACGAACGGGAGCTTGAGGTGGGACCGCTAGACACAGAAAAAATGTGAAAATTTTTTTGTTCTTTTAATTAATCGATCCGAACCGATTCCGTTTTTGATTTGTAGGCGTACCAAATTTGTAATATATTTTTTTTCAAAGAGAATGTTGATGAAGATAATCGATCAAAATCACTTCCACTCCTGCTTCCAAGTTTTATCAGAAGATTACATCTCTGGAGAGCATTTTGTGTGGTCGTTGGGGGCATGTGGTTCTGAATATGAACCAACAGGCAGATAAATTCTATTCTAACTTTTTACTGTAATAAGCTTGTTGGCCCAGAAAAGGTCCCTTTTGTTGCTAAAGTTGGTGATGATTTATCCTCCGAAACTGTACAGAGTTCGTCTGTCGCTTCAAAGCGTAGACGACATCGATGGCCGCTTACGCTTGGCGTGTTCAGTATAGGTAACAGCATCACGGATCACATTTTCCAAGAACACCTTCAGCATACCTCGTGTTTTCTCGTAGATCAGACTGGAGACACGTTTGACATGAAAATGAGTTGAGACTAGACAGCAGCGCTCTTTTATATCGTTTCAGGTTAAAGCAGAATGATGTGCAACCAAGTGGTACTTGATTATGACGACTGCGTTTGGGAACAACGTATATTTCATTAAAACAGTGAAAAAATTATCACTTTTTATTTGTACTTTGGATAATGCTTGACATTACCACTTTTTCAATAGTTTTTTGTTGGATTCAATTCAATTTTGTTCAATTGTCAAATAGAAGCATTGCGTAGACATATTTATGATCAATTGGTGATAAAATGATTGAAATTGATCCAGGGGCAGCTGAGTTATTAATGTTCAAAATCTTTCATAAATTTGTTTCATGTTCCATTTTTGGTTTTCACAAAGTGTACCCCAGTATAGAAACTAAAGACGTAGTCCTACGTCAAAAATGAAACAACAACAAAAAATGATCACATGAATAATGCTCGCGTAACATTTGAAAGGGTGTATCAGCTTTTCAAGCGAACCATGAGGGGAGGAAATAATTTCTCCTTCCAGGTGGTGTTGCTGGTTTGCGTGGGCGTACTTTGGTTCGTGTGAAAAGTGCTTAACAAGGTTTGTGTACACAAGTTTATTGGCCCTTTTTAAATGTTTGCGAGCATTATTCATGTGTTCATATTTAGTAAACGCTGTTGTTTCTAATTTTTATCAGTAGATGGACAAAAGTTCACCCGTGACCAGGTATATGGGAAAAGTGTACTTAAGCCTTCCATAAAGATTGTCGGGTTTGCTGCAAGGTGAAAAAGGACGTCGTTCATTTTCAAAAATTCAAGAGCAGATTTTTCATTCGTAACCAAATAACGTTCATTAAATTGTGTTCATTGCGTTCTACTCTCCTACCAGAATACAGTAAACACATTTTTTTCGACATAATTTCGGTTTTAAACGAACAAACTCCTTTTGAATTTCCAAAAATTAATGACGGCTCCTTTCTCCTTATGACACGAATGGCCCAAGACTATAATAATAATAAAAAAACGGGTTATTCTGATCTTCTGTGAAATTTAATCAGCTATAACTTTGCTAAAGACAACTTTTTCCTTGAACTTCAAGATAATGAGTTAATCTTTGCTTTATAAATCGAAAACTTTATGATAAGATCAATCGACTTCTTTCAGGGTAGCTGCATATTTCACTATTACTAAGTACCGTAAAACGGGGTAATATTGATAGTTTTTAAAGTATATATTAAATATTTCTTACAGCAATGAATGTTTTTCAAAAAAAATTTTAACAAGTACTGATGCTCCTAGAGTTAATTCGTTTGTATTATGTCTTACGGAAATTAAAGCACTTGCACTATTTTTCTAGTGTTGTGACCGAACACAAGTATTTTGATTTGGGGTTACTTTGATAATGCTCGATGAATGTAGAACAAAATGCGTGAAACTCAGACCATTTAGTTTTTGAAATATGACATTTTAAATTAGTATATAATCAGAAAACATCATAAGCAATAAGAATACAAGATGAGTCATTCCAGCTCAAGTGGGTACACCACCTGTGGTCGATGTCACCGATTTGAGCCAAACTTGACCAAAACGCATAAAGGGTGTCCACGATGAAATTGCCACACACAAAATTGATTCGCAAAATTCTAGTTTTCATCCGATTGCCATCAAATTTTCAGGGATTGAGAAATAACTATTAAACTTCATTTTACCATTTTACTCGTATTGTATTTACAGTCCATACGCAAATGCCCGCACCTTGGCCTTAACCCCGGCCATAAGATTCTGCACAACCTGTGAATCAACCGTTTTTTGCATGTAAACCCATACTTTCTTCAGTTCCTCGACTGTCTTCACTACCTTAGGTCGTTTAAGAAGGTGCTGCTTCATAATCGCCCAGTACTTCTCGATGGGGCGGAGCTCCGGAGTGTTGGGAGGGTTGAACATTTTCGGCACGAAATTGACCTTATTGTCCGCATACCACTTCAGCACGTCCTTGGAGTAGTGGCATGAGGCCAAATCCGGCCAGAAGATTGTTGGGACGTTGTGGGCCTTCAGGAGAGGAAGCAGCCGCTTCTGGAGGCACTCTTTTATGTACACCTGTCCGTTCATCGTGTCCTGGGTCACGAAAGGTGCACTCCGCTTCCCGCACGTGCAGATGGCTTGCCAAACCAGAAATTTCTTCGCAAATTTGGACATCTTCTGAGTGCGGACATGCTCCGGAATGCTGAACTTATCCTTGGCCGTGAAAAACAGGTTTGAAGTCGGCCTTCACATATGTTTCGTCGTCCATGATGCAGCATTCAACTTTCGTCAGCATGTTGAGGTACAACTTCCTGGCACGGGATTTGGCGGACTTGTTCTGCTTCTCGTCGCGATTAGGGGCCTTTTGTACCTTGAACGTTCGAAGCCCAGCCTTAGTTTTGGCCTTCTGGACAAAACTTCGGCTTAGGTGCAGCTTCTTAGCCACATCCCTAACGGAGGCGTTCGGATTTCGGTTGAAGGCCCCAACTACGCGGTTGTGATTTTTGGTGTTGTATGAAATACTTTTTCCTTCACTTCTGGGCTTCCGATCGGTGGTCAACCGTTCTTCGAACCGCTTAATCACTCGCGACACCGTGGAATTCGCGATTCCCAACGTTTTAGCGATGGAACGATGCGAGAGATCCTTGTTCTCGTGATGAATGCGCAAGATTTTATCACGCACGAGCTGTTCTTTCGACTCCATTTCCGCGAGTTTTGATCACAGGACTTTAAAACTTGCAGGATGTAAATAATGCACTATGAACTAAATCCACCCAAATTTTCATTAAATTCTACCCAACGGTTAAAAAGTTAGAGCAATTTCATAGTGTGGCAATTTCATCGTGGACACCCTTTATTTTGGCATTCTGAGCAAACACCTTTTTGTTCTGAAGTGCCTAGATCCCTCTCGGCTACAACCCTGGATTTTCGAGATTTTTAAAAATTTCATCTTTCAGAAGATATTACTCCACAACCAAATAAGCTATTCGTGATCTTAGAACGTCAATTTGAAGTTTTTTTTAATTAAGATTCACCTAAGTTTTGTTTTTGTTATAGTAACTACAGCAAACAGACTGATTCCCGGCAGGTATTGAAATTGTCAAAAATGGCCTAT